TTGGGTCGTGGTCTTCGTATTGTAGGTCCAAGTAGTTGTCTGCCTTATTGGTTGGAATCTGTAGGGTATGTGATGCCCCTGCTTTTGGTGGCAGTAGGACAAACCCTTCGGTTTCAACTTCTTGTTGGGCCAGGACAGACTTCTTGAGTCCTGCTTCTGGCTCCTTCCTTAGTTTGTGACCACTTGATGCACCAATCATTTGGGCTACTTCCTCGAAAGCTACCCTGGGAATCTGGTCTTGCATGTCAATAATGTTCTTCAAAGCTAAGAGAACTTGACTCAGATCTCCTTTCATTAAAGTGACATCATCCTTTACTTGGTTGAGATCCTCTTTGAATGCAGCCTGAGTTTCTTCGATTTGCTCCATTGCTTTTTGCTGATATGCCCTTATTTGATATGGAGGCCAAGGAGGTGGAGATCTTCTCCTACCAATGGTTTAACTGGAGATATTTTTTTTAAAAATGAGTTTCGATATGATATGCAGGTGTTCGTGAATGCGTGCGAATGGATGTGCATGAATATGAGCAGGGTTAAATGTCTTATTCACTTGGGTATATATTTATCTTTCGCTTATTTTTATTCGGTGATTAGCTTAAAAATAGATACGCAAACAAGATGTGGAAACAAAATTCCTTTATTGAAGGCAACATAATTCAGATATTGAAAAATATAATAATCTTAAACCAAAACATTATTTGTGTGAAATCAAGCAAAAGGGAAATAAGTCTTCTAGGTGCGCCTGTAGATATCTGCTCTTGAAATCATCCCCCATTACTAGATAAAGCTTGAGAAAGTCTTCATCATATTATTTCCCTTTTGTGGCTTTGATTTCAGACATGTTTGGCGCATTGACGCAGACAAGTTGTTTCCTTCGGTATCCATTTTTAAAGACAGTCACCGAGATCTTGAGTTTATTATTATTTTTTATACCCCCTGTGAATAAGAGAAATAAAAAGAAATGGGTGACACATATATGAAATGTATGTCGAATATATGAAATGTATGAATGCACGGATGTACAGACGCAAGGTTGAGTGACAGGATTTTTGTGATAAGTACCCCTAGAAGGTAGGCTGCTTAATTTTAACCTAGGGTTAGTCTACCCTCCTAAAAGGTGGTTTCCTTAAAGGTATCATGAATAACACAAGAGGGAAAAGGCACAAAGGGCCTCCCTTAGGTGGAGCCTCTTTACGGACCAAAACTTTCGTCTCAAAATCGTTAAAGGTCTCGTCATGAGATTTTAGGTTAAGGCCGTTAGAACGAGTCATGGGTGACCTTCCAAAGTCCTACTCATCAAGAGGATATCTCTCGATAAGTATTCCTTTTTCGAAAGTTCACCGATTCTAGGCGAAGTCGTCATATAAACTCGCAGGGATGATGTACCCCCTAAGCTACTAGACGAACCTTCTTTCTAAGGGTTATCGAAAATATTTTTTTGAAATAAAAGCTCCCGCCACGCAATAAATATATGATGATAAGAAAAATTGACAATAATTAAATAAACACAATAAAATAGATAAATGTGATAAGTAAATAAAATAGAAAACCCCCAAAGTAAAACCTAAAACCTGGGGTTAAGTGTCCTCAACAGAGTCGCCAGCTGTAGCAACTGGTTTTTTAATCAGAGCCGCCACTATTAGTTTTTATCCTAGGGAAGGGAATCTAACAGAAAACCCTAATTCACAGACAGAGATTCTAGGTTTCAGACTCTTATTAGACGAAAGGAAGGTGTTAGGAACCTTTCATATACCTTGTTCACAAGCATACTAGGTTTTAGGTTTAGGATTGGGTAAAATAGGATTTAAATTTTCATTAAGATGAGGGTTTAAATTTTTATAGGGGAACTCGCTACAATTTTTGATCGTATGCCTACGTATTCTCTTACGAGGAATCAGAGTCCCAATTCGTAGTTCATATGGGGTTGGTGTTTTTTAGGAATTTACAAACATATTTTGAATCACCTCCCACTTTGGTCGGGAGTGGTAATTGCGGAGATTTTGAATAAATGCGCGGTCAGTGAAAATGTGATCGAAACCCTTTTGAAAAAATAGTTTGTTAGCTTAGTTTATTGCGAAAAAATAGTTTGATGATTTGTCAGTGTTTTTTATTGTATTAACTGCAACATTTCTTAATTAATGCATGATAAAAATATTTTTATGCAAATAATGAGAAAATAAGATATTCATGACCTTTTGAGAAAATAATTTATTATGATATAGTAATATTTAAATAGTAAATAAAATATATTAATAATAATAACAAGAAATTAAGTAATTATAATAGTATATAATGATAAAAAATATTAAAATATAATAATTATAAAAAATAGAAAATATGTGGTTATATAAAAATAAGAAAAAGTAATTTAATTATGTTAAACCTGGGGGGTGTAGTTTTGAACTAACAAGCAAATCAGGGGGGTGCCTTTAGGAGACTGGGTTAGGCCCAACATAGTTCAGACAGGGGGGTGAAAATTGTTTTGAAGCTTTAGTAACTTAGGAATGGGGGCGTAGAAAGTAACTGGGCTTAGGCCCATTGCGTTTGGAAGAGGGTTCATGTGACTGTGTGCATGAGGGTGCATGGGGCTTATCATGCAGACTTGGCCTTTGGCCGTCTGATCTATATCACATGTATAAACGTTAAGGTGCATGATCATTATGATGTACGCGCTGGCACAAGATTGAAACAGAATATAATTTATGTTTTTTCATTTTTTGTATCATTCATTTTCAATTCATTGACCTATCTTTTCTCCCTTCTTTCTCTCAATACAGCCGCCACCCAACCCCTTCTTCTTCCTCACCGTTTCAACAACCCTCTCTTCTTCTTCCCCAAACCCTGAGGCTTCAACAATCACCACGGCAGCGCTATTCTACCCTTCCCCTTATAAGAACCTAACCAATACAAACAACAAAAGAAAATATAGCTAAGTGATTTACCCCCTTTGCGTTTCTGATTTCGAGTTCTCTGTGATTTTAAGCTAATCCCCTTCTTTTAGATTTTGCAGGCTCCTACAAAGGTTGAAGGTGATAGTAATGGCGGAGGAAACGACTAGGGTTCTGCTGTTATTCTTCTTCGTGGTTCTGCTATCCCTATTTCTCGGTATCCAGTCCTTCGTCTAGGTATTGTACTCTCCACCTACTATATTTTTTTATTTTCTTCTTTTTTTGTATTCTTCGTCCCTTCCCTGTTTCTGTTCTCTGTTATTTGTATATATAACTCTTTACAAATTAGGGCTTTGTCGTTACAGATTGATTAGCGTATATTTAGGTTTTGAGATAGAAGTTAGGGATTATATTAGGTTTTTGATTAATTGTAATTGATTCTGAAAAACTGTAATTGATAGTGTAATGGATTGGATTATGTAATAAGAGATTAAGATTTTTTTATTTGTAATTCCGAGGTTTCTGGGATTTGAATCTGTATAATCTTAGATTTGTATTTGATTTAGTAATTTTGCTGTAAAAATATTTGATTTAATTTAAGATTGTTTTGTTTTTAATTTCAACAGTGCATGTTAATTGATATAAAACAATCGAAATTATTGGTTTGATTAATACAGTAACAGTTATTGAAAAAAACATACATTAACTCTTTACTGATTGGTACAGTGGTTGTTGGTGCAATATGGGCCAGCATCTGTATTGGGCCTGTATGTTATTATTTTACATAGCAAAAAACATTTTTTTTAATTCAATTGGGTCTTCATTATATTTCTATTTTTTTATTGCAACACCATTATCCCTTTTTTGGATACGGTACTGGGCCTAATATGTTGTTTCCTTTTACCAACATATAAAATACTTAATAAACTATAATAAAGTAAACATGTTGTTTTGAAAACTGTAAAAAGAATCTCTTAACAATGATAAATGGGCCAGCGTTAATGCTCAAGCAAGTGGGCCTGCATTATTACTTTTTGTATTCAGCCCAACTTATTTTATTTTTTCTTATTACAACAAGAAATGCTTGTTTTATGCAACCAGGCCCAACAGGCCCTTACTAATCTAATAAGTTTCTCTTAAAAAACCTCTTATTAAAATAAAATAAGATACCAATCAACAACATTATAACAAAAACCTTTTCTTAAAATAGTAATGACTATCCGCTTGATCAAAAACTAAATGGGCCTATAGTTTGTAATTACACCTCCTTTATTTTAAGACATCAAATTCCATTTTATTAAGCAATAGTTTATAAAAATCAATAAAACTAAGATTTTTCTTTAAAAAGAAACAACAGATAATCATAAAGGACATATGGGCTGACTAAGTAAATTACCCCCACCCTTTTTACTAATAACAATGTAACACCTAAGCTTCTTTAATAAACTCAATTATTATTTAATAGCAATTTTAATTTCACTAATAACAACTATTTAGTAGTTATTATCCTGAAATAAAGTTACATTCGAATCGAATGGGCCATTGGCCAACATGCCACACGAATGGGTTCACGGATGCACGAGTCTTTCTGCTTTAGAAAGCCCCATTTTCGCGAATTAAAATACACCCCGTAGTCTTGGATAAAGATGGGCCATCAGATACTGTTGTACAATCTTTAATTAAATATTTCTTCTATCTTAATCTCGACTACTGAAATATGAAGTCAGTTGGAAGTACTCCTTATTAGGGAAACCCAATAAAATTAATTTCCATGATATCTCTAAGACTATACATAATTTGCATTTATCCCAACATTAAACACTTACTCATCTATAAATGAAAAGTAAATTATACATTGTTATAAAAGAGATGCATACATGTACAGTCGGATATGTATAGATCGACATGAGAAAAACAAAACATAACAATATGTTATAGTATTTATTAAATCTTAATTAAAGAAGATAACAAAATTATCATTAAGCATACAAAGTATGCAATCAACAAAAATAAAATTTAGACAAAAACAAGCATAGAAAAGGACCAACAATGTAAAATGGTTTTTTATGCCATTTTATTGAAGCCACTGTGAGATTTCACTGATCCAAGAAACAATTAAGGATACAAAAAATGTTTCTGATAAAATTGTGGTGGAAACATTTGACCTTGTTGAGGAATTAATTGGTGTTGGAAAAGGATGTTAGATGGTGAAACACTTTCAACACAAAATGGAAGAGTTTGAGTATGAGTATCCTGAATTACAAGGTTAATATCATGTTGTGCAACAAGGTTCCTAAGCTCCTCCAAAGCCTTCTTTAACATTTCAAGTTGAGCCCAATTCATCTTATCAATTGAACAAGTCCACCAAAATTGAGCCTCAAACTCTTTGTGCAAATGGCTTAGTTCATCACCAAGTTTCTTTTTAATGTCTAGTGTGTTATTGATTTTAGTAAACTGAGTATTGATCTCACACACGTTAGCTTTACGACGAGCCTCAATGAATTCCATGATGTCGTTGTTTTGGGGTGGAACTCGAGAGAGATAACGATTTATGACTGTGTCTATATTGGGGTGTCCAAAAGAAAATACCTTTTCACTAGGTGAGAATACAACAAGAGAAATTTGTGCATCACATAGGGTTGAAAGTTCACTGGCTTTCTTGAAGAGTCCTCTACGTCATCTTGAAAAAGTCACTTGCAGGTTACTCTCGTTGCTCATCTTTTTCATTTCGATCTTTTGTCTACCTTGACTTTTCCTTTCGCTTGACATGATTAAAACACAAATTAAAGAAGATAAAAATAGAGGTGGTATGTTTGTAATTTTAGATTAAGAAATGGCATATATAAATTGGGTATGAAGGAGTCACTTTATAGCCAAATTTTTTGTGTATGTATTTTCTTAATTGTATTGTGATTTGGCTTAGGAAACCAAATCGCGGCAATATATTTCAAACGTCGTACCTTTTTGTAAAATTTAATATTTACTACATTAAGAATTCTCATAAAATCTCTTTTATATGGTTTATATGACTAAAAAATTAGTGGATGAAAAATGACGCTCTTTTGCCAATTTGTATATATTATATTTTATTTAGAACGATTGATAAGTTGTATTTAAATATTTCCATGAATTTGATAATTCAATCATATTATTAATGTATTTATTTTAAAAATCTCAAGAAATTCAAATACATTAGATGAATTTAATATTTCATAAATGATTAAATTCTCCGCCACCAAATTTGTTTTATTTTTCTAACATATTTTTAAAAACTAATATGTATATATATATATATATATATATATATATATATATATATATATATATATATATATATATATATATATATATATATATATATATATATATATATATATATATATATATATATATATATATATATATATATATATATATATATATATATATATATATATAAAATAAGTTTTAAAAATAGTATTCTGAGATTTTTTTTTAAATTATTAATTAACACATTTTGCATGATTGTACTCCACCCATTGTGGATAATTATTGCGGTAAGCACTAAGGATGAGTCCAATTTCATTTCTAATTTTATTGAGTTTCGAACCTTAATATTGTTTTGATTTTAATATAGTGAAATCATTGCATCTACTCCACTAGATCAATTAATTTTTTAGCTTTTATAATTAGACAATCGGTCATCTCTAGTTAGCGTAATTTTTTTAACTTTTTATTTCTAAATTGTTTTTCCTTTCTACAAAGTGTCAATTTAAAGTTCACAATAAAGAAATTTTATATATCTATTTCCCAATACCTTGTGATTGTCGAATATGTTCTAAAGTTTTAGAAATTTTAACCTTTAGACTTTACACTTAAGCGTGTATCAATTTTAAGTGCCAATTTCTCTAATGCGGTCATTTCACACATTTGAAGTATTAATGGATGTTCGATCAAAGACTAATGGTCTAAAAATTGACTGATTTAAACTTTAAGATTATAATTTTAAATTAAAAAAATCAAATTTGAATTGTTCGATCTTGATCGAACGGTCACTAATACTCCAAACACGTGTACAAATATTGTACAAAAATCTGGTGTGTCACATTGCCTTAGCACTCATTATAGAGCATGCATATAATCCTATGCCATATATACAATCCCAAGTAGAAATTAAGCTTCACAATTGAAATATGAAATCAGTTGGAAGTACTCCTTATTAAAGAAACCCAATAAAGTTCAGTTGCCATGATATCTCTAAGACTATGCACAATTGGCATTTATCCCAACATTAAACACTTACTCATCTATAAATGAAAAATAAATTATACATTGTTATAAAAGAGATACATGCATGTAAAGTCGGATATGTATAAATCGACTTGAGAAAAACAAAATATAATAATATGTTATAGTATTTAATAATTCTTAATTAAAGAAGATAACAAAATTACCATTAAGCATACAAAGTATCCAATCAACAAAAATAAAATTTAGACAAAACCAATAATAGAAAAGGACCAACAATGTAAAATTGTTTTTTATGCCATTTTATTGAAGCCACTGTGAGATTTCACTTATCCATGAAACAATTAATGATGCAAAAAATGTTTCTGATAAAATTATGGTGGAAACATTTGACCTTGTTGAGGAATTAATTGGTGTTGGAAAGGGATGTTAGATGGCGAAACACTTTGAACCCAAAATGGAAGAGTTTGAGTATGAGTATCCTGAATTACAAGGTTAATAGCATGTTATGCAACAAGGTTCCTAAACTCCTTCAAAGACTTCTTGAACATTTCAACTTGAGCCCAATTCATCTTATCAATTGAAAATGTCTACCAAAACTGAGCCTCAAACTCTTTGCGCAAATGGCTTAGTTCATCACCAAGTTTCTTTTCAATGTCTAGTGTATTATTGATTTGAGTCAACTGAGTATTGATCTCACAGACATTAGCTTTACGACGAGCTTCAATGAATTCTATGATGTCCTGGTTTTGGGGTGGAACTCGAGAGAGATAACGATCTATGACTGTGTCAATATTGGGGTGTCCAAAAGAAAATAACTTTTCACTAGGTGAGAATACAACAAGAGCAATTTGTGCATCACACAGGGTTGAAAGTTCACTGGCTTTCTTGAAGATTCTGCTACGACGTCTTGAAAAAGTCACTTGCAGGTTACTCTCGTTGCTCATTTTTTTCATTTTGATCTTTTGACTACCTTGACTTTTCCTTCCGCTTGACATGATTAAAGCACAAATTAAAGAAGATAAAAAGAGAGGTGGTATGTTTGTAATTTTAGATTAAGAAATGGCATATATAAATTGGGTATGAAGGAGTCATTTTATACACAAATTTTGTGTGTATGTATTTTCTTAATTGTATTGTGATTTGGCTTAGAAAACCAAATCGCGGCAATATATTTCAAACATCATACCTTTTCGTAACATTTAATATTTACTACATTAAGAATTCTCATGAAGTCTCTTTTATATAGTTTATATGACTAAAAAATTAGTGGATGAAAAATGACGCTCTTTTGGCAATTTGTATATTTTATATTTTATTTAGAATGATTGATAAGTTGTATTTAAATATTTCCATGAATTTGATAATTCAATCATATTATTAATGCAATTATTTTAAAAATCTCAAGAAATTCAAATACATTAGATGAATCTAATATTTCGTACAAGATTAAATTATCCGCCACAAAATTTGATTTAGTTTTTCTAACATATTTTTAAAAACTAATATATATATATATATATATATATATATATATATATATATATATATATATATATATATATATATATATATATATATATATATATATATATATATATATATATATATATATATATATATATATATATATATATATATATATATATATATCTAAGATTTTTTTTAAAATGATTAATTAACACATTTTGCAGTATTGTACTCCACCCATTGTGGATAATTATTGCGGTAAGCACTAAGGATGAGTCCAATTTCATCTCTAATTATATTGAGTTTCGAATCTTAATATTGTTTTGATTTTAATATAGTGAAATCATTGCATCTACTCCACTAGATTAAGTGATGTTTTACCTTTTATAATTAGACAATTGGTCATCTCTACTTAGCATAATTTTTTAACTTTTTATTTCTAAATTGATTTTCCTTTCTACAAAGTGTCAATTTAAAGTTCACAATAAAGAAATTTTATATATCTATTTCCCAATACCTTGTGATTGTCGAATATGTTGTAAATTTTTAGAAATTTTAACCTTTAGACGTTACACTTAAGCGTGTATCAATTTTAGGTGCCAATTTCTCTAATACCGTCAATTCACACATTTGAGGTATTAATGGATGTTCGATCAAAGACTAATGGTCTAAAAAATGACTGATTTAAACTTTAAAGTTATAATTTTAAATTAAAAAAATCAAATCTGAATTGTTCGATCTCGATCGAATGATCACTAATACTCCAAATACGTGTACAAATATTGTAAAAAAATCGGGTGTGTCACATTGCCTTAGCACTCATTATAGAGCATGCATATAATCTATGCCATAAATACAATCCCAAGTAGAAATTAAGCTTCACAATTGAAATATGAAATCAGTTGGAAGTATTCCTTATTAGTGAAACCCAATAAAATTAAGTTGCCATGATATCTCTAAGACTATGCACAATTGGCAATTATCCCAACATTATACACTTACTCATCTATAAATGAAAAATAAATTATACATTGTTATAAAATAGATACATACATGTACAGTCAGATATGTATAAATCGACTTGAGAAAAACAAAACATAATAATATGTTATAGTATTTAATAATTCTTAATTAAAGAAGATAACAAAATTATCATTAAGCATACAAAGTATGCAATCAACAAAAATAAAATTTAGACAAAACCAAGCATAGAAAAGGACCAACAATGTAAAATTGTTTTTTATGCCATTCTATTGAACCCACTGTGAGATTTCACTTATCCATGAAACAATTAAGGATGCAAAAAATGTTTCTGATAAAATTATGGTGGAAACATTTGACCTTGTTGAGGAATTAATTGGTGTTGGAAAGGGATGTTAGATGGCGAAACACTTTCAACACAAAATGGAAGAGTTTGAGTATGAGTATCCTGAATTACAAGGTTAATAGCATGTTGTGCAACAAGGTTCCTAAGCTCCTCCAAATCTTTCTTGAACATTTCAAGTTGAGCCCAATTCATCTTATCAATTGAACATGTCCAACAAAATTGAGCCTCAAACTCTTTGCGCAAATGGCTTAGTTCATCACCAAGTTTCTTTTTAATGTCTAGTGTGTTATTGATTTTAGTAAACTAAGTATTGATCTCACACACGTTAGCTTTACGACGAGCCTCAATGAATTCCATGATGTCGTTGTTTTGGGGTGGAACTCGAGAGAGATAACGATCTATGACTGTGTCTATATTGGGGTGTCCAAAAGAAAATACCTTTTCACTAGGTGAGAATACAACAAGAGAAATTTTTGCATCACATAGGGTTGAAAGTTCACTGGCTTTCTTGAAGAGTCCTCTACGTCGTCTTGAAAAAGTCACTTGCAGGTTACTCTCGTTGCTCATCTTTTTCATTTCGATCTTTTGTCTACCTTGACTTTTCCTTTCGCTTGACATGATTAAAACACAAATTAAAGAAGATAAAAAGAGAGGTGGTATGTTTGTAATTTTAGATTAAGAAATGGCATATATAAATTGGGTATGAAGGAGTCACTTTATAGCCAAATTTTTTGTGTATGTATTTTCTTAATTGTATTGTGATTTGGCTTAGGAAACCAAATCGCGGCAATATATTTCAAACGCCGTACCTTTTCGTAAAATTTAATATTTACAACATTAAGAATTCTCATAAAATCTCTTTTATATAGTTTATATGACTAAAAAATTAGTGGATGAAAAATGACGCTCTTTTGCCAATTTGTATATATTATATTTTATTTAGAACGATTGATAAGTTGTATTTAAATATTTTCATGAATTTGATAATTCAATCATATTATTAATGTATTTATTTTAAAAATCTCAAGAAATTCAAATACATTAGATGAATTTAATATTTCATAAATGATTAAATTCTCCGCCACCAAATTTGTTTTATTTTTCTAACATATTTTTAAAAACTAATATATATATATATATATATATATATATATATATATATATATATATATATATATATATATATATATATATATATATATATATATAATAAGTTTTAAAAATAGTATTCTGAGATTTTTTTTTTAAAATTATTAATTAACACATTTTGCAGGATTGTACTCCACCCATTGTGGATAATTATTGCGGTAAGCACTAAGGATGAGTCCAATTTCATCTCTAATTATATTGAGTTTCGAACCTTAATATTGTTTTGATTTTAATATAGTGAAATCATTGCATCTACTCCACTAGATCAATTAATTTTTTAGCTTTTATAATTAGACAATCGGTCATCTCTAGTTAGCGTAATTTTTTTAACTTTTTATTTCTAAATTGTTTTTCCTTTCTACAAAGTGTCAATTTAAAGTTCACAATAAAGAAATTTTATATATCTATTTCCCAATACCTTGTGATTGTCGAATATGTTCTAAAGTTTTAGAAATTTTAACCTTTAGACTTTACACTTAAGCGTGTATCAATTTTAAGTGCCAATTTCTCTAATGCGGTCATTTCACACATTTGAAGTATTAATGGATGTTCGATCAAAGACTAATGGTCTAAAAATTGACTGATTTCAACTTTAAGATTATAATTTTAAATTAAAAAAATCAAATTTGAATTGTTCGATCTTGATCGAACGATCACTAATACTCCAAACACGTGTACAAATATTGTACAAAAATCTGGTGTGTCACATTGCCTTAGCACTCATTATAGAGCATGCATATAATCCTATGCCATATATACAATCCCAAGTAGAAATTAAGCTTCACAATTGAAATATGAAATCAGTTGGAAGTACTCCTTATTAAAGAAACCCAATAAAGTTCAGTTGCCATGATATCTCTAAGACTATGCACAATTGGCATTTATCCCAACATTAAACACTTACTCATCTATAAATGAAAAATAAATTATACATTGTTATAAAAGAGATACATGCATGTACAGTCGGATATGTATAAATCGACTTGAGAAAAACAAAACATAATAATATGTTATAGTATTTAATAATTCTTAATTAAAGAAGATAACAAAATTACCATTAAGCATACAAAGTATGCAATCAACAAAAATAAAATTTAGACAAAACCAATAATAGAAAAGGACCAACAATATAAAATTGTTTTTTATGCCATTTTATTGAAGCCACTGTGAGATTTCACTTATCCATGAAACAATTAAGGATGCAAAAAATGTTTCTGATAAAATTATGGTGGAAACATTTGACCTTGTTGAGGAATTAATTGGTGTTGGAAAGGGATGTTAGATGGCGAAACACTTTGAACACAAAATGGAAGAGTTTGAGTATGAGTATCCTGAATTACAAGGTTAACAGCATGTTGTGCAACAAGATTCCTAAACTCCTTCAAAGACTTCTTGAACATTTCAACTTGAGCCCAATTCATCTTATCAATTGAAAATGTCTACCAAAACTGAGCCTCAAACTCTTTGCGCAAATGGCTTAGTTCATCACCAAGTTTCTTTTCAATGTCTAGTGTATTATTGATTTGAGTCAACTGAGTATTGATCTCACAGACATTAGCTTTACGACGAGCTTCAATGAATTCTATGATGTCCTAGTTTTAGGGTGGAACTCGAGAGAGATAACGATCTATGACTGTGTCAATATTGGGGTGTCCAAAAGAAAATAACTTTTCACTAGGTGAGAATACAACAAGAGCAATTTGTGCATCACACAGGGTTGAAAGTTCACTGGCTTTCTTGAAGATTCTGCTACGACGTCTTGAAAAAGTCACTTGCAGGTTACTCTCGTTGCTCATTTTTTTCATTTCGATCTTTTGACGACCTTGACTTTTCCTTCCGCTTGACATGATTAAAGCACAAATTAAAGAAGATAAAAAGAGAGGTGGTATGTTTGTAATTTTAGATTAAGAAATGGCATATATAAATTGGGTATGAAGGAGTCATTTTATACACAAATTTTGTGTGTATGTATTTTCTTAATTGTATTGTGATTTGGCTTAGAAAACCAAATCGCGGAAATATATTTCAAACGTCATACCTTTTCGTAACATTTAATATTTACTACATTAAGAATTCTCATAAAGTCTCTTTTATATAGTTTATATGACTAAAAAATTAGTGGATGAAAAATGACGCTCTTTTGGCAATTTGTATATTTTATATTTTATTTAGAATGATTGATAAGTTGTATTTAAATATTTCCATGAATTTGATAATTCAATCATATTATTAATGCAATTATTTTAAAAATCTCAAGAAATTCAAATACATTAGATGAATCTAATATTTCATTCAAGATTAAATTATCGGCCACAAAATTTGATTTAGTTTTTCTAACATATTTTTAAAAACTAATATGTATATATATATATATATATATATATATATATATATATATATATATATATATATATATATATATATATATATAAGATTTTTTTTAAAATGATTAATTAACACATTTTGCAGTATTGTACTCCACCCATTGTGGATAATTATTGCGGTAAGCACTAAGGATGAGTCCAATTTCATCTCTAATTATATTGAGTTTCGAATCTTAATATTGTTTTGATTTTAATATAGTAAAATCATTGCATCTACTCCATTAGATTAAGTGATGTTTTACCTTTTATAATTAGACAATTGGTCATCTCTACTTAGCATAATTTTTTAACTTTTTATTTCTAAATTGATTTTCCTTTCTACAAAGTGTCAATTTAAAGTTCACAATAAAGAAATTTTATATATCTATTTCCCAATACCTTGTAAATGTCGAATATGTTCTAAATTTTTAGAAATTTTAACCTTTAGACGTTACACTTAAGCGTGTATCAATTTTAGGTGCCAATTTCTCTAATGCCGTCAATTCACATATTTGAGGTATTAATGGATGTTCGATCAAAGACTAATGGTCTAAAAAATGACTGATTTCAACTTTAAAGTTATAATTTTAAATTAAAAAAATCAAATTTGAATTGTTCGACCTTGATCGAACGATCACTAATACTCCAAATACTTTTACAAATATTGTAGAAAAATCGGGTGTGTCACATTGCCTTAGCACTCATTATAGAGCATGCAGATGATCCTATGCCATATATACAATCCCAATCAGAAATTAAGCGTCACAATTGAAATATTAAATCAGTTGGAAGTACTCCTTATTAGTGAAAACCAATAAAATTTAGTTGCCATGATATCTCTAAGACTATGCACAATTGGCATTTATCCCAACATTAAACACTTACTCATCTATAAATGAAAAATAAATTATACATTGTTATAAAAGAGGTACACACATGTACAGTCGGATATGTATAAATCGACTTGAGAAAAACAAAACATAATAATATGTTATAGTATTTGATAATTCTTAATTAAAGAAGATAAAAAAATTATCATTAAGCATACAAAGTATGCAATCAACAAAAATAAAATTTAGACAAAACCAAGCATAAAAAAGGACCAACAATGTAAAATTGTTTTTTATGCCATTTTATTGAAGCCACTGTGAGATTTCACAGATCCATCAAACAATTAAGGATGCAAAAAATGATTCTGATAAAATTGTTGTGGAAACATTTGACCTTGTTGAGGAATTAATTGGTGTTGGAAAGGAATATTATATGGTGAAACACTTTAAACACAAAATGCAAGAGTTTGAGTATGAGTATCCTGAATTACAAGGTGAATAGCATGGTATGCAACAAGGTTCCTAAGCTCCTCCAAATCCTTCTTGAACATTTCACATTTAGCCCAATTCATCTTATCAATTGAACAAGTCCACCAAAATTGAGCCTCAAACTCTTTGCGCAAATGGCTTAGTTCATCACCAAGTTTCTTTTCAATGTCTAGTGTGTTATTGATTTGAGTCAACTGAGTATTGATCTCACACATGTTAGCTTTACGACGAGCCTCAATGAATTCCATGATGTCGTTGTTTTGGGGTGGAACTCGAGAGAGATAACGATCTATGATTGTGTCTATATTGGGGTGTCCAAAAGAAAATACCTTTTCACTAGGTGAGAATACAACAAGAGCAATTTGTGCATCACATAATGTTGGAAGTTCACTGGCTTTCTTGAAGAGTCCGCTACGTCGTCTTTAAAAAGTCACTTGCAGGTTACTCTTGTTGCTCATCTTTTTCATTTCGATCTTTTGACTACCTTGACTTTTCCTTCTGCTTGACATGATTAAATCACAAATTAAAGAAGATAAAAAGAGAGGTGGTATGTTTGTAATCTTAGATTAAGAAATGGCATATATAAATTGGGTACGAAGGAGTCATTTTATAGCCAAATTTTGTGTGTATGTATTTTCTTAATTGTATTGTCATTTGGCTTAGAAAACCAAATCGCGGAAATATATTTCAAACGTCGTACCTTTTCGTAACATTTAATACTTACTACATTAAGAATTCTCATAAAATCTCTTTTATATAGTTAATATGACTAAAAAATTAGTGAATG